CTTCTTTGATTTCTCTTCTTCCTCTTTTGGAGACCTGAACAGAAGTTTCACTAGGGAGGAGAGCCAAATGGCCAATAAACATATGAGAAAATGCTCCCAATCATTAGCCATCAGAAAAATGCAAACTAAAACAACTATGAGACACCACCTAACACCCAAATCAGAAAATCAGAGAGCGATGCATGTTGGAGAGGGTGTGGTGAGATAGGAACTCCTCCACTGATGGTGGTCGTGTAGATTATACAGCCACTGTGGAAAGCCATCTGTCCATAATTAAAGCAAATGGGAATTGAGTTACCCCATGACCCAGCAATCCCTCTACTGGGCACATACCCAGAAGAGGCAAGAAATAGACCAAGACCAGTAACCTGTGCTCCAATGTTTACTGCAGCACAATTCGCAATCACAAAGAAACAGAAACAACCTAAGTTTCCATCCATAGATGAGTGGATTAGAAAACCCTGTCACATACACACAATGGAGACTAGGTATCACTAAAACACACTGATGATCCCATGAAGCCCATGGTTTCATGGGAAGAGTTGGAGGAAATGATGCTAAGTAAAGTTAGCCAATCACAAAAGGACAAGCACAACATGAGTCCACTGACTCAAATGTAATCAGCATAGTAGGTATAGAAGAAGTCACTTATTTCACACTTTATGGGCTGAGGTACAGGCAATCGGGTGGGGGACAGACCAAACCCAAGGATGTACATGTCATTCCAACATAAAGAAGGGGAAAGGGGTGGGGGTGGGGGAGCAAAGGGGGTGGTAGAAAGAGGGAGATGATGGCACTGGGGGAGTAGGGCAGTAATCCACCCAGGAGAGGGTATTGATCATGTCTCCACAGAAATGGGAGTGAGCATGCAGACCCTACCACAGCCCGCCAAATCTCAAGGGCAACGTAACCACATGGAGTAACTCATGAACAAAGAAGTCTACAGGGCCAGCTCCAATCAGAGTCAAATTGACCTCTGCCTCCCAGAAGTATGTACTATAGAGGACAACACAAAACTTGCAGGCTGGGGAGAGGGGCCAGGCTGCCATGCCCATACAGAAGCAAACCAAGAAGGAAAACGAGAGAGCGAGGGACTAGACCCCACACTGACACAGCAGTCCCCTAGGTTAAAGGCCCTGCATGGAGCTGGAAAGGCACAGAGAGGACTGCAGGACTGACAACAGCTCAAGACGGGATGTCCCCTCTCGCTGGAGCATACTGAGACAGAGGACGATACTGGGGACACACGGTAGGGAGTGAGTCCAGTCTGACTACACCCACAATGGGGTGAACGAAGAAGGGAACATAACAGATCAGCAAAGGGAGCAAAGCCAAGCCACGGAAACTCTGAGGAGCCCCCCAAATAGACTTCAGGTTAGGAGGGGCAGTTCCTGGAACCCCCCAGGAGCAGTGGGGAGATAGTCACAAAGGTCAGTGGACAGACCTGGAATTTGTATGCTTTGGGTTTTTTATTTTTGGGGGCTAGTTTAAATTTTTTTTCTCTTTTTATTCAATCTGCTTTCTTTTTATTTTGCCTCTGTTATTGTTGTTTTGCCTATCAATGTAAGACAGGCATGGGAAGCAATGGAAGCGATGGTTCTGGAGGCACCTGAGGGGAGGAGGAGGTTGGGGGAAAGGAGAGATGAGCAAACAATGCTACTGACAGGGGAACAAATAGGGAATTAAAGTAACAAGGAGGATGTAGAGATCCTCGTGGTGTTGGAGCAACAGCAATCTAGCTGAGAGGAATTACTAAGTAGCAGATGAAGGGCGAGTGTGATGGTGGAGAGGAGGAAGGTAAAAGGAAACCGAGGAAAGATCTAGGATAGAAATATAAACATAGGTGTGCACTTGTGTAACTATATTAATTCATTAATATTGAGGCATTGGCCTATGTACATATATTTATATGGCAATACATTAAGGTAGTGGATGGACTTTGGGGCCTCTGCTCAAGCCCTCCATCAACACAAAAACACGTTCTAACAACCTTGCATTCTGTGATGCTCACCTTCCCAACACAATTGCTGAAGACAAAATGGGTGCATAAGCAAATGTGGTGAAGAAAGCTGATGGTGCCTGGCTATCAAAAGACATAGCATCTGGAGTCTTAAAGACTTGAAGGTAAGCAAACGGCCGTCTAGCTCAAAAGCAACAAAGCCCACATGGAAGAAGCACACCGGCCTGTGTGATCATGAGGTGTCGAAGGGATCAGGTAGCAGGCATCAAAGAACAAAAAAACATATCAGTGTGAATGAGGAGGAGTGTGGAGGGGGGACCCCATCTGTAGGCAACTGGACATCCCCTTACAGAAGGGTTGCGGGGAGGAAACAAGCCACTCAGGGTGCAGTGTAGCAGCGATGAAACATACAACTTTCCCCTAGTTCTTAAATGCTTCCTCCCTGGACAATATCGTGATCCCAATTCTATCTTACAAATCCGGCTAGACCAGCGGATTACAAGGATCTACCTATAACCCCATCCTTGGGGACGGACAACAGAAAAGTGGGTGAAGGGAGATGTCAGACAGTGTAAGATGTCACAAATTAATAATAATTCATAAATTATCAAGAGTTCGTGAGGGAGAGGGGCAGAGAGAGGGGAAAATGAGGAGTTGATACCAAGGGCTCAAGTAGAAAGCAAATGTTTTGAGAATGATAATGGCAACAAATGTACAAATGTGCTTGACACAATGGATGGATGTATGGATTGTGATAAGAGTTGTACGAGCCCCCAATAAAATGATTAAAACAAAAACAAAGAAAATATGCATTTAATTAGAAATAAAAATGAAACTGGCAAAGAAAAGTGTCATTGGGAGCATGGGAGGTTACGTGTCAGGAGGGAGCTTTCAGGGGCTGCTGGGAGGTGGGTGGATGTCTGAGCTGGGAGGTGGGTGGATGGCTGAGCTGGGACTGGGTGGATGGCTGAGCTGGGAGGTGGGTGGATGGCTGAGCTGGGACTGGGTGGATGGCTGGGCTGGTGCTGGGTGGATGGCTGAGCTGGGAGGTGGGTGGATGGCTGAGCTGGCACTAGGTGGATGGCTGGGCTGGTGCTGGGTGGATGGCTGAGCTGGGAGGTGGGTGGATGGCTGAGCTGGGACTGGGTGGATGGCTGAGTGGGGAGGGGGCGGTGGAAGGCAGGAAGGATGTTCAGGGAGATTGTAGTGCCTTCGGGTGGGGTGGGGGAAAGCTGGAGGACAGTGGAGAGAGGACAGGAAACTGCATAAGGGTTCCATGAATGGCTCTCTCTCCCAGAAACTGCAGGTCCATGACAGACCCCAAGGAGGAGGGCCCGCCCACGGCCTGGTGGAGAGGGGCTGCCAGGGGGCAACAAAAGGTGACGTGGAGGCTGGGTGGAAGGGCTGAGTCTTCAGGAAAAGCCTTGATGTGCCTCACAGGTGTGCTGTGGGTTTTCATCGGGTGAGTGCTTTTGGGAGCCCTTGCCTGGCTGCAGTGCAGAAGACTGAGCAATGAGAGGGGGAGGAGGCAGGGGGTGAGGGCTGGGGCAAGGACAGAAGTGGGAGCTGGTTGTGGGCATCTGAAGCTGGTGGGGCTGTGTGGGCCCAGGTCAGCTCACAAACATCTTCCCTGCTGCCAGACCGCTGTCTCCCCACATTACAGGGGTGGGCCTGCTCCTTGCTGCTGGGGACAATGGACAGGCTCCTGTAGGAGGAGTTTACACCCTATTGATAATGGTTCCTATGGAGACCCAGGGAACAGGTCAAAGTTAAGCTGCCCTCCTAAATCTAGGATCCGCCCATCTTGTCACATGTATATCCCCAATCCCTCCTCTTCCTATTGGGTGTATGTCCCTAGACCACCTCCTCTCATTGCTGTATAACCTATAGTGTAAACCCTTCCTGTGACATATGTCTTTACCTGGAATTAGGGGCTTGCACACCCCCAAAGGTATATAGGCGTGGGTCAGCAATAGAGATCTCTCTCTTGCTGGGTTCTTGCTGGCCGCTCCCCTGTCTTCCCCCTCTCCTCTCCCTTCGTCTCTCCCTTGTTCTCTTTCCCGTCCTTCCCTTCCCCCTCTCTCCACGTGACCACCAAGCTGGGCTGAGGTGAGCAATGCTACCATGTAATGTGTCTGAATGCATTATTGTAACGCCTCTTCTATCGCTCATGCTCTCAGTGACTTTAATGTGATACTTATATACCTCAACCGTACAATTGTGCATTACTGAACCCGTGGGTAGTAGCGGTGGGGGCTGGCCCCCCACCCCTCAGTAACTTTATACTACAGGGCTGTGAGATAGGGCAAGGGCTCAAGTCTGGGCTGGGAGGTGTGGGCATGTACCCAGAAGGACAGGCCAGCTCCTGAGTCTGGGGGAGGGGCAGGACACCCTGAGCCCCAGGCAAGGAGGGTGCTGCACTGGGATCCCCTGGTGGCCAGGGGTGGTAACCCCCATCCTGGGGATCTGAGCAGCACCAGGGTTCAGGGAGCCCCCTCCAAGCAACGGGGTTCTTCCTGGTCATGACATCATCACATCACACTTGGCTAAACAGTTTTTCTGAGGTGTAGCTGGAGGGCATTTGAGGCCCACCAGCTCCCGCCCCTGGCAGAAAGGCCCCTGAGGACCATGCCATGCTGCTCTGCCCCTGCCTCCCCCTCAGTGTGAAGTCCTCCCCCCAAACTGCCCAAGGAGGTAAGCTTAACAGAGTGGGAGAGACCCAGTCTCCCTGGACAAAGCTCAGACCAGGGTTACCCAACAGCTCCAGTCCCAAGGCCACATCCAACTCTGGGGCCCAGTTTTCCCAAATATGCAAAAGAAGCCTTCTAAGGGGCAGGGACAGTGACTTTATTTGCTGGCACACAGATCACTTATATGGGCCAAGATTGAAAGAGGGGCAAGAAATGAGATCCAGGGGTAGAAGACGTCCACCCAAGGACTTGCAGACCCCGCACAGCCAGTTGGAGGGTGGTGGGACTCTGGGGCAGACTATTAGGAGAAAGCCAGGCTGTGTTGGGGGTGAAGAGGGGTTGGTGTCCACTCAGCAGCAGGGGTCCTTGCAGGTCGAGGTGCCACAGCAGGCCGGGCGAGGGCATGCAGGGCGGCAGAGCAGGGACATGGAGGAGGAGGCAGGGGCACAGCAGGCGGGCTTGCACACAGGTTGGCAGATGAGGGACATGCAGGAGGAGGGTTTGCAGCAGGAGGGGGCACAGGGAGAGGGCTGGCAGCATGAGGAGGAGGAGCAGGGGCCAACCCCACAGCAGACGGGCATACAGCAGGGAGCAGGTGTGCAGCAGACGGGCTTGCAGCAGACAGGTGTGCAGCAGATGGGTGTACAGCAGACTGGCTTGCAGCAGACAGGTGTGCAACAGACAGGCTTGCAGCAGATGGGTGTACAGCATGCAGGCTGGCAGCAGGAGGGCCCACAGGAGCTAGTGCAGCCTGATTGGCAGGGGCTGGACCCACAGCTCACAGGGCTGCAGATGAGGGTCAGGCAGGAGGCTGGGGCACAGCAGGAGGACTGGCAGCAGGAGGGGGCACAGCAGGTGGGGGCACAGCAGGAGGACTGGCAGCAGCTGGGGGCACAGCAGGAGGGCTCGCAGCAGCTCTCGGGGCAGTTGTCCACCTCCCAGGAGGAGCCGGTGCAAGACTCGGTGGAACCAGGCAGGCAGACTCGGCTGCCATAGCTCAGGTCACTGGAGCAGACAGACATGGTAGATGGGTGGGAGAAGGCGAGGTGGTCGAGGAGGAGGAGGTGGAGCAGGAGGAGGGGTGAGTGAGTGAGTGGATGAGTGAGTGAGTGTGTGAGTGTGTGTGTGAGGAGCTCTGGGCCTCTGGGCCTTTTATATCCCTCTGTGTTGTGTGTTGTCCCCAAAGAGGGCCCTGGGAGCTTCTTTCCTTGTTTGGAGCAAGCAGTCCCTTGAGGACACCCATCATGGACCCACAGCACGTAGCTCAGCTCGTAAAAGAGGAAGCCGTGTAAGGCATGCTGCTTGGGGTGGGGAGGTGGGGGGTAGGGAGGGAGCCCTCCTGCTGCCGGGACCATGGGGCGGCACCCCTGACTGTCATGTCTGACCTGCCTTCTGCGATGTCTTGCTATCCTTTCTCCCGAACGTCACACCGTTCAGTTGAAACAGAGCCCATTTTGTTCCCCTGGCTCCCCTAAGCTCTTTATTCTGGGACGAACACCTCTTTTGGATCCATAGCTTGGGAGTTGTCTTTCTTTTTATTTTTGTAGCAAATACTTCATCATAGTTCTTGTTATGTGCCAGGAACCATTGCGTCGGTGGGTGAATACCCGACCAATGACGTTCTGAGGTACGTGCTGCTCGTATGCCCGTTTCACAGACAGGGTCTCACCCACCGCCAGTCATCTAGTTGATTCCAACTCACAGCGACCTTCTAGAACCGGTTAGAACTGTCCCTGTGGGTTTCTGAGACATGACCTCTTTACAGGAGTGCAAAGTAATCTTTCTCCCACAGGCCGGGATACTAAGGTGCAATTCAATACTGTCTGCAGGGTGTACGTAGCGGGCTGTTAACCACAAGGTCAACTTGAAGCCACCAGCCGCTCTGTTGGCGAAAGATGAGGCTTTCATCTCCCGTAACGAGTTACAGCCTCTTTCAGTAGTGGTACAGATCAGAGCTGGAAACCGGGAATCCAGGACAGATGAGCCCCTCAGGACCGATCATGAGAGTAGCGATACCGGGAGGGAAAGGGGAAGGTGGGGGGAAAAGGGGGAACCAATCACAATGATCTACATATTAACGCCCTCCCAGGGTGACAGTCAACAGGAAAGTGGGTGAAGGGACACAGTGGTCGGTGTCAGATATGAAAAAATAATAATTTATAAATTATCAAGGATTCATGAAGGAGGGGGGAACGGGGAGGGAGGGGAAAATTAGCTGATGCCAGGGGCGTAGGTGGGGAGCAAATGTTTTGAGACTGATGAGGGCAATGAATGTACAAATATGCTTTACACAATTGATGTATGTATGGATTGTGATAAGAGTTGTATGAGCCCCTAATAAAATGATTTAAAA